AGACTGTACACCCTTTCAGACAGGTGGATGTCCAGTCTTTTCTTGAAAAGGCAGGGGATTGGACTAGATGACCTACAAGGTCCCCTCCAACTCTGTTAACCTGTTAAGAAAAACCTCCGGGGATGAAGCACCTACAATTTCGGAAGGAAAGCTGTTCCACTGGTTAATTGCCAGATTCGTTTAACAACCTAACTGAACAACCAAAGTCATTCGGATTAACAGCTGCGGTGAGAATGGCTGCAAAATGGGGGAAAGTCACTTAAAAATTATTTTTGCTCAGCCACAGAATTGTTGGGCTCAACTGCAGTTGTAAGTCAAGGATTGTTTTAAAATCAATTTCTCACATTTCTCACGGCAGGTGAGAAAAATAACTTCAGGTAGATCCGTCAGCCTCTGAGATCCATGTGGGGTTCAGCAAGAAGCTGGGCCCAATTAAAGCAATTTTATTCCAAAGAATAGAGAAGAATAATTTCTTTCAGCCAACTTTGTGCTTTGGTTCCCAGGGGGTTAACCAAAGGGATGATTCATCCGTAGGAACCTTTTGTGATTTTGCAATCCTTATCAGCTCCCTCCCTCTGGACATCTCAGATTATAATAATATTCCATTACACTGATAAAAATAAAATAAAATAAAATATAAAAAAACCCCACAGATCTATCTCTTGTGCCTCGTCCAAGGTCAGGCGTACATTCATGGCAGATGAACTTTGAGCAGGTAGCTGCTCTTAAATCCCATTTAAGTCCTATTTTTCTTACTCTGGATTTCAGCCAGATCAGATTGTTTAGTGCAAAAGGCAAAAGTCTCCGAGATTTTCTGAGCTCCAGGAAGAAATAAACAACATTTTAAGATGCTGGCAAGATCAGCAGGCCTACAAGTTTGACTTTCAATACAGGTAGTCCTGGAGTTACGGCCACAATTGAGTCCAGAGTGGCTAAACAAGGTAGTTGTTAAGTGAATCTTGCTCCATTTTACAACCATTGCCATTGTCATTAAGTGAATCACTTTTAAGGAATTGTTCGGCTGTTAAATCCAGCTTCACTCATTGTTGCAAACGGAGATCAAATGATGCCGGGGGCACTGTAACCCGTCATAAATACATCCTCAGTTTCCAAGCGCCCGAATTTTAATCACGTGATTGTGGGGATGCTGTCACCTTTTTCAGTGCCATTGTAATTTTGAACAGTCACTAAATGAATCGTTGTAATTAAGGTCTCCTCTGGATATTTCCATGAATTTATCCAGGGGTTTTCTTGGTGCCTGCCAAGGAAACAAGTTTGCAATGATTTTCTTCCTAAATTGCCAACCTGGTCCACAAATCATAGGATTTCTGAGTGGTCTCTCATCCAAATAAGAGGGCAGCCCCCACCCCATTTTTTTTTCTTTTTTAATCTGTGAATTTGTTTGGCTGGGGATTCCTGTTCTAATGGATATGGAAATGTACTTTTCAGACCTTGATCAATTGTTCCATTTTCCGGTTTTCACTTGTTGAATTTTAACAAAACATTTGTCTTGCCTGACAATTTAAATCTTCGATCCTTTTCCTGTTGTGCGGTGGGCGGCCAAGTAAATTGTTTATAAAGAAATAAACCACAATAAAAGGCTTCCAGCCCAGACAAAATCTGCCAGCCAAAAACTTTTGACTATAAAAGCAGATTTAAAATGTGCCCATTTCACTCCGTGAAAACCAGCCCAATTGCTTACAACGATACTTTGGGGGGTTTTTTGGTTAGAAAAGGATGTTTTATTATTTAAAAAATCCATACTTAGCGGAATGTCACTCTCTGCTTCTTTCCAGCAAGCTGGCAACGTTCCAAAGTTTCACTTGAGAAAGACTGAAAGAAGGAAAAAGAAAATGTAAAAATACAGATAGTCCTCAACTTACAACCACAGGGGAGCCCCCAAATTTCTGTTGTTGAGTGAGACATTTGTAAAGTGAGTTCTGCCCCATTCTTCAACCTTTCTTGCCAGAATTGTTAAGCGAATTACTGAAATTGTTAAGCTTTACTTAATGGTTATACTTTATTTACTTAACACCGTTGTTAAATCTGGCTTCCCCACTGACTTGTTTTGTCAGGTGGTCACAAAAAGGGACCACGTGACCCCGGGACTGCGACCCTCATAAGTATGTGCCTTGGGGATGCCGCAATGATTGTAAGTGTGAAAAACGGCCGTAAGTTACTTCTTTCAGTGCCTAAATAACTTTGAATGGTCACTAAATGAACTGTTGCAAATCAAGGACCATGTCCAGTGATCGACTTCTAACCATTCGCTTTAGGGACTGTTCAAAGTTGCAATAGCCCTGAAAAAAGTGACTTATGACCGTTTTTCACACTTAGGACCGTTGCAGCATCCCCATGGTTACGTGATCAAAATTCAGACGTTTGGCAACTGACTTGTATTTACGACGGTCGCAGTGTCCCCGGGTCACATGATCTGCAGCCTTCTGACAAGCAGTGTCCATGGGGGAAGCCAGATTCACTTAACAATGGTGTGACCAGCTTAACAACTGCAGTGATTCACTTAACAACAGTGGCAAGAAAGGTCGTAACATGGGGCAGAACTCCCTTTATAAATGTCTCACTTAACAACAGAAATTTTGCACTGAATTACGGTCGTGTTGCTAACTCAACAACTGCAATGATTCACTTAACAACTGTGCCCAAGAAAGGTCATAAAATGTGGGAAAACTCATTTAACCACTGTCTTGCTTAGCAACAGAAATTTTGGGCTCAATTGCGGTCATTAAGTTGAGGACTACCTGTAACCCCACCATTGAATATTTAGTCCTCGTTTAGGGGCCACAGTGGGGGGTCCAAAAACTTGGTTGTTAAGTAAAGAAGTACTAAGTAAAATCACAACTGTGCTTATGATTGTATTTTAGCCTTACTTTGCTTTGTAGACCTGCCAAGATCCTATATAGAGGATTGTAGTGTTTTTTTCCCCATTTCGGTCCAATCGCAAATGGTCGCTAAATGAGGCCGTCACTAAAAGCAAGGACCACGTTGAAAATATCTGTTGTGTAGTAGAATCAGTGGGCAACCATACAGCATGGCCAGTGCCACAACTGTGACAGTTTTGGAGACCGTAGCAGTGGCGGGATTCAAATTTTTTTACTACCAGTTCTGTGGGCGTGGCTTGGTGGGCGTGGCAAAATCCCCATTCCCTCCCCACTCCTGGGGGAAGATTACTGCACAATCCCCATTCCCTCCCCACCCCACTAACCTGCTTTCCAGCTCCGTTCTCCTGTGCAGGGCAACCAAAGAAGACCCAGCCAATCAGCTGGGATTGGGGAGGCGGAGAATAGGTGGGGGCGGGGCCAGTCAGAGGCGGAATTTGCCAGTTGTCCAAACTACTCAAAATTTCCGCTACCGGTTCTCCAGAACTGGTCCAAACCGGCTGAATACCACCTCTGACACAGAGGTTATACAACTGTGAGGGAGGAATGCAAGGAGAGATGTGTGAATATGTCCATTTTGTGATCAGCCTTCCAAGGGCGTTTTTTAAATATGACTTAAATTTTTTAAAAATTAAAGATTAAAAATGTATTTTTTATGGCCGCAGTGTCCTGGGAATCAACCAATCCCCTTTTGCAACCTTCTGACAAGCAGAAGGTTCGCTTAATGACCATATTACTCACTTAACAACAGCCATGGTTTGCTTAACAACCTTGACACAAATGCTTGTAAAATGGGGGGGGGGGTAGCTTTTTTTAAAAAAAAAAAATTAAAAAAAAAGATAAAAAGATATTTATAAGTTGTGGTCGGTCTTATTTTTTTTTTAAAAAAAATATAACTTAAAATTTTCTTTTGTGATCCTCTTTTGTGACCGTCTAGCAAGCAAAGATAATGGGGGAGCCAGATTCACTTAACAACCGGGTTACTCACTTAGCAACCCCAGTGGTTCACTTAACAACCGTGACACAAAAGTTGCAAAATGGAGTTTTTTTTAAAAAAAATGCCACGATCCCCTTTTGTGACCTTGTGACCAGCAAATGGGGAAGCCAGATTCACTTAACGATGGGGTTACTCGCTTAACAACCACAGTGATTCATTGAACTGTGGCAAGAAAGATTGTAAAATGGGGGCAAACCTTACTTAACTGTCTTGCTTAGCAAGGGGAATTTGGGGCTGCTACGGTTGTAAGTCAAGGACATGTATTCCTCAGGGGGGAAAAAATCAATAGCTGAGAGGTCCCATCATTTTTCTTGCAATTTTTCCACTTTTTGACTTGCGGATTTGCAGATTCCCAAAATAAGTGAGATAATTTCTATATTTCTAATGTGTTTATTGGGGAAAATTTGGTATTTGTTCACCAAGTTTGATCCTAAGATGTTGCTGAAGTGGAGGAAAACCACATGAAGGGCCATTTGTAAAAGTACTCGTTTTTTTATTGACAGGATCTAAAGGGTGACCGTTGTGTCTCCTTTTCCAACACAAACCTCGCAAAGTTGCACTTTTCATACACTTTTGGTTTTTCCCGCAACGCTGGCCAGAACCCCCCACCGAGGTCCAGGACAATGCTGTCCAATCCCAGCATCGCTGTCAGCTCAGCCATCCTCCAGGCAAAGACCACAACTCCCAGAATCCTTAGCTCCTCGCTAGGAATTCTGGGAGTTGCCCTCTCTAAATATGGCTGGAGTGGCTTCAAATATATATTTTTTCCCACACATACAACTCACACATCCAAACGGGAAAATGTAATGCGTGTTGTTGACAGCCCAATGGCTGTTTTTGGGCTTCTGGGCCAACAAATCATTTTGTGCCTGGCTTCACCAATACGGCAGCCATTTTGGGAAAGGGCAAATCCTCTGGCAACTTCCAGGCTTCAACATGGCTCCAAGCTGCTCAGAACATTTGAGAATCCCTGTTTCCGTTTGCAAACTCTCTCCATTTGCAAATTTTGGACCTAAAACTGGGGGCAAAAGCAGGATTCCTAAATTTTCTAAATCTGACTTTTTCGTTCTTTGGCCCAGTTTTGACTCCGGGGAAGAGACTAGAAACACCGTTTTCGGCTTTTATTTATTTCTCTCCTTCTGTTGGAAGCAGAATGATCACCAAGTGCATTTCTTAACACGCCCAGGAGGACCAGCCTTATTTGCACCGTAGACGTCACTATACTGAGGAATCGGTTCACAGGGAACCCTGGGGGAGGGGGTGGGCTGTAGTTCCTCAGGTGGAAGATGTACCACCGGGCACCATCCTAGCAAAACTACAACTCCTTGCCTGCCTGCAATCTCCCAAAGCTATTTCTGCATGTAGAGCTGCCCAGAATGGTCAAGAAACTCTTTCGCACCATCTAGTGGTGGGGGAAAGGGACTACCTGGGAGGGAACTGGGCTCAGCATTCCCCTCTGGTGGATTAAAGAGGAGAAGCAGCTCCTTGGCAAGTTTATTTCCCCACACAGCTCCCAAAGTTTTGATGGAAATGGAAGGAAGTCCAGGGCAGGCTCATAGAAAAAACTGCACCATGGAAGGAGGAGCCTGAGCTAGGGGGGGCTTGGCCCCCTCCCCACAATGCCCCCCGGCCCCCTCGCTCAGCAGCTTCTGACACCGTGCTTTGTAGATGTCTCGTTCGTGGACCAAGCGAGCCACCTCCACCCGCAAGGACTCGAGCTGTTGGGCCAGCTGGGATTTTTCGGCCTCTAGGATGTGGCGTTGCTGGACCCGTTTGAAGCGGCAGGACTGGGCATAGCCGCGGTTCTTGAGGGTGCGCCGTTTCTGCTTCAGCCGCTGCACCTCGTCTTTGCCGAAGCCACGGAGCTGCCGATTGAGATCCCGGACCGACATGGAGACCAGCTGGGCATCGGAGAAGCGGTCGGAAAGCCGGGGGAGCTGGAAATGAGGAAGCTGTATCAGGCAGGCAAAGGGGGGGAACAAACGCCACATTTGGTGAGCGGAGGATGCTAAAGGTTTTGGCGTAAGCGCATGAGAGGATGGGGAAATGGCCGACAGACAATCAACGCTCAGGGAGAGCCCTAAGTGTAACCACCAATTGAGACACTGTCCTCCATTTACAACCGCGACAAAGCCCAACATTTCTGTTGCTAAGGAGAAACGTTTGTTCAGTTAATTTTGCCCTGTTTTATGATCTTTCTTCCCACCGTTGCTAAATGAATCATGGCAGTGTTTTAAGTTAATCACACGATTGTTAAGTGAATCTGGCCTTCCCCACGGACTCTGCTGGTCAGACGGTCGCAAAAAGGGATCACGTGACCCCAGGAACACCGCAACCATCATAAATACGAGTCAATTGCCAAGTAACTGAATTTTGTCCGCGTGACCAAGGGTTGTAAGTGTGAAAAATGGTCCTAAGTCCCCTTTTTCAGGGCCGTTATAACTTCGAATGGTCACTAAACAAATGACTGTAATTCAAAGACTACCCTGTATGTTATCTTGCTTTGAATTCGGGCTTGTAACCAAGCTGAAGAACTGTGTCCCCTAATATCTGGAACATCCGGATGTGGTTGGACTACAACTCCCCACACTCCCAGCCACTGGCTACAGATGGGAGTTGTCGTCCTCCATGTCTAGATGATACCTGGCTGAGGCAATACCTGCTTTCGGCAATGAGCATAGTTCTCCCCAGGGGCACTATGAACCGAATTATTCATTTTTTGTCAGAATAGAGCTGGAAGGGACCCTGGAGGTCTTCCAGTCCAGCCCCTGTTCAACCTGGAGACCCTATAACATTTCAGACAAATGGCTGTCCAGTCTCTTCTTAAAAACCTCCAGTGATGGAGCACCCACAACTTTTTGTGGCAAGCAGTCCCGCTGGTTAATTGTTCTAATTGTCAAGAAGTTTCTGCTTAATTCCAGGTTGCTTCTCTCCTTGATTAGTTTCTATCCGTTGCTTCTCATCCTGCCTTCAGGTGCTTTGGGTAATAAGTTGACCCTCTCTTCTTTTTTGGGGCAACCCCTCAAATATTGGAATACTCCTATCATGTCACCCCAAGTCCTTTTCTCTAGACTGGCCAACCCCAAATTCTGCAACTGTTCTTCATATGTTTTAGTCCCCAGGCCTTTAATCGTCTTAGTCGTTCTTCTTTGTACTTTTAACAAACTCTCAAAAAAATTTTTTTTTAAATATGCAATCCTGGCTCCTGAGTTTGTTTTCATATAAAACCCAGAAAACTGGATTAAGGAAGCAACCTCGATTTGGATGGCCATAAGCAAGCGTGCACCTACTTTTAATGCTGGCTCTCTAGTCTGTTACCTTCCACTCCCAAGAAATTAAGAATATTTTTATTCCCCTTGAAACATCTAATCCCCTCTCAGGTCCGAGAATGCTCATTTCTTACACCACTGTGATTTATGACCCTTCTGCCCTTGTGCAGTCAGGTAAAGGCACTCTGCACATGCTCAAAAGCTATGCCTTCCGGAGGGTGCCTTCAACTGGGGACCCCTTCAATGAGGCAGCCTTTCAATTCAGAAGCTGCTCTAACCTTGGATGCCCTAGGGGGCGTGGCTTCTAGCAAGACTCCTCTCTGCGCATGCTCAGAGACCCTGTTTGCCAAGACTAATTAAACCCACCTTATTCTCCAATACAAACAGTTCCCAAATTACAACAGTTTGTTTAATGACCATTCAAAGTGACACTTCCTGAAAAAAAGTGAGTTATTCCCGTTTTTCACACTTAACGACTGTCGCAAGCGTCCCCAAGGTCACGCGATCCAAACTCGGACGCTTGGCAACCAACTCGTATTTATAACGGTCACCGTGTCTCCCTGGTCACGCAATTCCCCCCTTTTGCGACCTTCTGACCACCAAAGCCAATGGGGGGAAGCCGGATTCATTTAACGACTGTGTTGCTAACAGAACGGCGGCGATTCGCTTAACCGCTGCAGCAAGACAGGTCGTAAAGTGGGACAAAGTTCCACTTAAGTATCTCACCTGAGCAGCAGACATTCCGGGCTCCCAATGGTGGCCATAAATCGAGGACTAGCTGCATTCAATATTTGACATCTTTTTTTGTTTGTTTTGGTAGATTTACCTGTTGTTGCTCTGCGCCGAAGCTCTCCGCTGACCCCAGGAAGCCCTGAAGCTGTGGGGTCATGCTGTTTCGAAGACCCCCTTCAGCCGTGGGCACCCCTAAAATGGCTTCCACAGCTTCATCCAGCCCTGGCATCATCTGCGTCTCTGGGCCAGTGCCAGCGGCTGCCGCCAAGGACTGGTGCAACGTCGCCATCCAATACAGCTCTTCCAAGGAGGATTTGGGGTCAGCCCCCTTGTCGAAGGTGGGCGAGGGGGGCACGGAGCTGCATGGGGTGGAAGTGACGGAGGAGCTGCTCCCTGGCCGGGGCAACTCCTGTTTCACTTCAAACTTCAGCAGGTCGAAATCGTCCAGGTAATCCAGAGCGATGGGGCTGGCAGGTAAGGTGCTCATTCTGCGAGGGAGGGAAAGGAGATAAGGTTGTGGGGGTTGTGTGGATCAGTGGCGTCTGTGTACGTGTCTCACCTGGGTGAGGAGATCTGGATTAATGGATTAACTCTTGGGGCGGGGGGGAAGGAAAATAATATTCTATGCATCCAATATATACATATATATATAGCCTGTTTGCTCAGACGCCAAACAGCATTGTGTACCTCATCCAGCCTCATGGCAAACTTCTGGAGGGTTTTTTTTGGTTGTTTTTTTAAATTTTATATTGTTTGTACATATCAATATGTGAACAGTGTGATAGGATAGGATAGGATAGGATAGGATAGGATAGGATAGGATAGGATAGGATAGGATAGGATAGGATAGAATAGAATAGAATAGAAAATTTGGAATGGAATGGAATAGAATATAGAATAGAATAGAATAGAAAATAAAATAAAATAAAATTTGGAATGGAATAGAAAATGGAATGGAATAGTATATAGAATAGAACAGAATAGAATAGAATAGAAAAGAAAATTTGGGATGGAATAGAAAATGGAATGGAATAGAATATAGAATAGAACATAATAGAATAGAAAAGAAAATTTGGAATAGAATAGAAAATGGAATGGAATAGAATATAGAACAGAACACAGAATATAGAATAGAATAGAAAATAGAATAGAACAGAATATAGAACAGAATATAGAATAGAATAGAATAGAAAATTTGGAATGGAATGGAACAGAATATAATGGAATGGAATACAATATAGAATAGAACAGAACAGAACAGAATAGAATAGAATAGAATAGAATAGAATAGAATAGAATAGAATAGAATAGAATAGAATAGAGCAGAGCAGAATAGGAATAGGAATAGGAATAGAATAGAAATAGAATAGAATAAAAGAGTTGGAAGGGACTTTGGAGGTCTTCTAGTCCAACCCCCTGGCTCAGGCAGGAAACCCTATACCACTTCAGACAAATGGTTATCCAACATCTTTTTAAAAATTTCCAGTGTTCATTCACAACTTCTGGGCATACCTGGATATCATATATTTTAGTACAAATAAACATAATATTATTACTCATAGTCATTACATTTCATTTTAATGGTTTCATATTCTTTAAACATATCTGATACTATCGTCCTTCAATTTCTAAACCTCCCTCTTATTGTTACAAATATCTTGTTATATTAAAACAGGTAGCTTGTTGTTCCCCTATTATATCTATTTCTATTCTACCTTTTATTCATGTCACATTTCTTTTCTGTCTTCCATCTTTAATCTGCTTTGTTATTCATATTCCCCTTATTTAACTTTTCACATCTGTATATAATTAAAGTTTCACCCTTCATTCTTTCATTGTTCAGGGTTTCAATATACAATTCTAATATCAATCACAGTATCACTTAAACATATAGGATAAATATATTCATATTCCTTCCATTCATCCAATCCATGTAATTCTACCATTAAATTATTATGTATATACTTATACTTGTTTATACTTGTATGTTTATATGTTATGTTCATACTTATACTTGTTTTCTCAAACATGCTTGACAAACAAACAAACAAATAAATAATAATAATAATTCTTTGCATCAAATATATATATAGCCTGTTTGCTCAGGACACCGAAAGGGCATTGTGTACCTCATCTGGCAAACTTCTAATGCTATCACCTCTCCATGTATTGTTTTATAGGAAGTTATGATTACGCTTGGCAGGAAATAAAGAGGCAAAAATTAATAATCTTTTGCACCAAATACAGCTAGTCCTCAACTTACAACGTTCATTGAGGGACCGTTCAAAGCCATAATGGCCCTAAAAAAAGGGATTTATGACTATTTCACCCTTAGGTCCGGATTCACTTAACAACCGGGTTCCTAATTTAACCACTGCGGCGATTTCACTTAATAACAGTGATAAGCCACGTCGTAAAAGGGGGCAAAACTCACTCGTCTTGCTTGCTCTTTTTGCGACGTTTTGACAAGCCACGTCAATGGGGAAAGCGGATTCGCTGAACGAGCACGTGACTAACTTATCCGCTGCACCGATTCACTTAACAACGGTGCAGAGAAAAGGTCATAAAAGCAGGAGGGAGGACTCACTTAAGAAGTGTCTCACTTAACCGCAGAAATTTTGGGCTCCATGGTGGTCGTAAGATGAGGATTACCTGTATCCTGTTTGCTCAGGACGGTGAGCATCCTATAGGGTTGGTTTTCCACCCCATCCAGCCCCGCTGGAAATTTCTAGAGCTGCCACCTCTCCCTTCATTTGCTAGAGGGACGACGGTATAATATTTATAATATCGCTTTATAATAAATATTATGTTTCTAATGTAATATTCTTGGGCGGAGGACACCAGGAAACAAATCGTTAAACAGGTTTAAAAAAGTGGCAGCCATGGCTTATCCAGAGGAAGTTTTGTTTATTTTAAATCATTTATTAAATTTTATACGCCACCCAACGCTCTACCCAAATGACCTGGGGGGGGGGGTTTGTGGTGATATGTGGTGACAAACCATAGTTTGAGTCCTGACCAGGATACACAGCAAGGAACCTCCGATCCGTTGCCCTAGTGCAAAATAAAATGCACTTTATTCACGTCTAATTGCTTGGATTAAAGTCCGAGCACCCATAATCCAATTGTCCTCTCTCTGCCGAGCTTCTGCAGACTAGCAATGCCTATCCCAAGTCAGATCAAGCTACTTCTTGCTGGATTATTTTTTTTCCTGAAAAAAGAAAGAAAGAATTTCCTATCCTAGCCAAGCTAGGTTACTAACCAGTGGAACAGCTTGCCACCAGAAGTTACGGGTGCTTCATCAGTGGAGGTTTTTAAGAAGGGGCTGGACAGTCACTTGTCTGAGATGATATAGGTCCTCCTGCTTGAGCAAAGGGGGCTGGACTAGAAGACCTCCAAGGTCCCTTCCAGCTCTATTCTATACTAAATCCTAAATCCCTTGCTGTCTAATTGGCATCCTTGGATTAAATGGGAGGGGGGTGGTGTCTGATAAAGTGAGGGGGGGACCCTTCCTCCACTATCTAATATCCTGAAACAAAGTTTCTCAACTTTGACAATGTAAAACATTGTGGTAGTTAAAGTCCGCCCCCCCTCTCCAAATTGTGAAGTTGAGAAACTTAGTTTAAAGATGAGGATGATATTTTGCCCAAATCAGCCAAATAGACTTTCCCCGCAATCCAACAGGTGCTGGATGCCGCGCATTTGGCTGGCTGCGTGCATCCTCCACACAGAAAGGCGCTCTCTTGCAGATCCAAGCCCGGGGGCGCGGAAAGGATCGCGGAGGGAAAAGAAGAAATGAAAGCGGACGGGGCGGAAAACTCCAGGGAGAGAGGAGAAGCCCTGCATAAGCAAACGCAAGGCGATCCTTTGCAAAAACCATCAGACCCGTGGGGGGGACGGGACGCTGGGGGATCTTTTGCAAAACCCCAGATCTGGGGAAACGCAAGGCGATCCTTGGCAAATCTCCCCCCACCCCCGATCCGGGGGAACGCAGGAGGATCCTTTGCAAAGGGAACCCGGGGAAACGCAACGCGATCCTTTGCAAACCCCAGATCTGGGGGAACTGAAGAGGATCCTTTGCAAACCCCAGACCCGGGAAACGCAAAGCGATCCTTGGCAAACGCAAAGAGATCTTTTGCAAAACCCCAGACCCGGGGAAACGCAAGGCGATCCTTTGCAACCCTCCAGATTTTGTTTTTTGGGAGCGGGGAAAGAGCCCACCTGCTTGCTTGGTCTTCCATGGATCTTGTGTTCCTTGCCAGCGTCCAGTCCGGACCGCCCTGCCCTTATCCTGCCACCCGTTGGAGCCGCTTAGGGGGTGAGGATCCCAAAGAACACAGCGCAGCCCCGGGGGTTCCCTTTAAACTCCGGGAGGCTGACCTCATCCGCATATATTAGCAGCCAGCCAATGGGGAGGGCGAGATTGAGGAGGGGGCGGGGCCAACATTCCCCCCTCCCCTTTTACCAGTTTCCCAGTTCCCAGTTCCTCTTTTGGGGGGGGAGGGGGGAGGGGGGGAGTCACAGGGTTCACCCCAGATTACACCCTTCTACCAGCCTCCAGCCTCCCATGCATGGGACTACAAAGCCCAGCACTCCCAGCCCGCTTTGCACAAGCCCTCCCCCTCCTGAATAGTTCTGTTCTGGCTTGGATGGCACCCAAGGCACGGTGCCAAGGGCGCAGCCTGGAAGCGATGAGGTCATGCCGTTGCCCGGGGTGTTCCTGAGCATGCACAAAGTTGGGTGCGTTGGCTGGCAAAGCTCATCTCCCTCCCACTCACCCTGCCTCCCATTTGCAACCTTGGTAGTCCTCGACTTACAACAGTTCGTTTAGTGCCCGTTTGAAGTAACCACGGGCACCGAGAAAAGGGGACGGGATCATGTTTCACACTTACAACTGTCGCAGCCTCCCCGTGGTCCTGTGATTCAATATTCAGATGCTTGGACACGGATTCGCATTTACGACGGTCGCCGTGTTGTGCAGTCGCATGGGTTCTCCTTTTGCGACCTTCCGTCAAGCAAAGCTCATGGAGGAAAACTGGATTCGCTTAACAACTGTCTGACTCCCTGCATACCTGCACACAACATTGGCAGGCAAAGTCATAAAAACGAGGCTTAACGAATGTTTCACTTAGCACCAAAAATTGGGGGCTGAATTGGGGTCGTAAGTTGAGGATTGCCTGTGTATTTTTTTTACAGGTTTTTTGAAAGTGGAGTGGAAGGAAAAAATAACCACTTTGGACAGGCTCAGAAGCTGGATCTTTTGAGTGTGAGATAAAAAGCATTCTAAACATGCTCAGAGGTTATTTGTCCGTCCAGCAACAGCCAGAGAAGATTCCTCTGTAGGGAAACGGCACTCTGTGTATGCCCAGAATTAACTTTCTGCGCGAATGGAAGAAAAAATAACCATTTTGGACAGGCTCAGAAGTTGGATCTCTTGAGTGTGAGATAAAGGCACTCTAAACATGCTCAGAGGTTATTTGTCCATCTAGCAACAGCCAGAGAAGATTCCTCTATAGGGAAATGGCACTTTGTGTATGCCCAGAATTAATTTTCTGTGTGAATTTTTTTAAAAAATGACCATTTGGGACAGGCTCAGAAGCTGGATCTCTTGAGTGTAAGATAAAAGCACTCTACACATGCTCAGAGATGGTTTGCCTTTCAGCTACAATCAGAAACGATTCTTTGGTAGGCGAAAGGCACTCTGCACATGCCCAGAGGGACAGAAACCAAACCGATCGACATTTCTACATCATTGAGAGAGGGGGGGCAATTCAGCGCAGGGTGGCAGACGATGGGACTCGGAGTCTGTTTGGGCAAGCACGCACGCGGGACGGAGATGGGTTCAAATCCCAGTCAAAGCACCAAGAAGGAGGCCGAACTCTCACTCGCTCCCCTGTGAAGGTGTAAAAGCCGAGGCAGGCCGGCACCCCGATGGAAAAAATGGGTTCTGTAGGGCAGAAGCGATGTCCCTGGTTTGGACCCCAGGCCGGCCGGAGGGTTGCCATGGCACCCGGGCCAGCCCACCCCTCTGCTAATACCCAGCCCCACACAGCCACAAAGGGCCAGCTCAGCGTTGCTAACCCTTCCTGACAAGGGATTCTTCGCCTATTCAGTTGGACATCAGCCTGTCATCAGCCCTCACTCCACCGTTCGCTGACACCCCCCACCTCCGGCCTGACCTCCCCACCTGACCTGGCCGTGTTGTTAAGCCCCCAGAAAGAAAAGCAAGAAAAATCCACCCTCCGCAAAAAAAAAAAAAAAAATACTATGACCCCCTCCCTTCACAGCTCTATCTTTGCCCCAAAACTGCAATTTGGGGGCTTATTTCTCCTTGAGAACTAGCTGCTTTGGCGAGCAGAGTTCCCAGGAATTTAGGCCGAAATGCAGCAGGCAGCTGATGGTGGCTGTGGGATGGAGACGGAACTAATGCAACTTTTCCCCTCTCCGGCAGGGAAAAATATGACTTAGGACATAGTTTCACACGACCATCGTAGCATTCCCTGATCAAAATTCGGACGCTGGGCAACTGGCACGTACTTATGTTGGTTGCAGCGTTTTAGGGTCCCCCTTTTGGTGATCTTCTGAAGAAGCAAACCCCATGGGGAAGCCTGGTTTGTTTAACAACCGTGTGACTAATGTCACGACTGCAGGGATTCATTTAACGACCATAGTGACTGGGCCAAACTCGTCGAATGACCGTCTTGCTCGGTGACGGAAGTTTTGGTTGTAAATCGAGGACGACCTGTATTCTGTAAAAATAAAACATAACTTTTCCTGACCTGGTTAGCAAGAGAGACACGCCGCGAATGCAGAGCTTAGCCTGTTGAATTTCAGCCTGCGCTGCTCATGCTCTTCAATCCAGCATAGGGGGAGAAAAAACTGCAGTGTGATTTGGTTGGATTTAATCAGCAGAGACAGAATAAATCCAATTTTTCAGGCTTTTGCCCCTGTCCTGCCCCATAAACTCAGGAACCAGGTTGCAATTGGTACGAGAGAGGCCAGGCTGAAATACAACTGGGCTAGCGGACGGTTCAACAGGTCAAGCAAATGCCATCCCACCCCCACATCCCACCCCAAGCTGAGCCTTGCCTGTTTCCAAGGCTAATTAAAGTGTCTGAAATGATCATTTTAGCAGGAATTTTCCTATTAAGCTGTGGAGTTGGCCAAAAATTCTGATTAACAAACTTTGACCAGATGTCTTTAAATAAAACCTCGGCTCTATTAATCACTTTAAGGTATATTCTCAGCTTAATTGGCCCAGCTTTTCACCCCCTGCCTGGCGCCTCGCCCCCCCCCCCCCCCGACCTCAATGACCCATATTTTACTCGATTTAATCCTGATCTGGACGTCTAAGACTGCATTTAATGGATTCCCGGCTCAGCCGAGCCCAGGAGTGTTTGTAAATCTTGATCCTGGCAAATAAACAGACAGATTAGCAAGGGGGGAAGACTTTTTAATGGGATCTGACTGGGGAGAGTGGGGCAGACGGGGGGGGGGATTTCTCCCTCTGGATCCATGGCGGGGGTGGGTTGGGTTAAACCTTTAACCCTGATGGTCCCCCGGTTCTGCCTATCTCGGGTTAAGCAGCCTCCGAGGTAGGATGACGGAAGGGAATATTTGGGTTGAAGGGAGGTGCCCTCAGAGTTGGCTGAATTCCTTGCAGACATTTTATGACCCAGCTAGGGAACTTTATCAGGGCTAGAAGGGAGTGGGGTTTGGAGGTGGGAGGAGGAGGAAGAGGAAGAAGAGGAGGAAGAGGACAATGAGGTCCTTGGTGTTCTCTGAGCTTGGTGGTTTTCTTGGAGATATTTCATGACCCAACTATGGAACGTTATCAGTGTTAGAAGAGGAGGGTGGTAGGACGGAGTAGAGTTTGTGGAAAGGAGGGAGGAGGACTGTGAGTCCTTGATGCTCTCTGAGCTTGGTGGTTTCCTTGGAGATGTTTCATGACCCAACTAGGTAACATCATCAGTGGAGGAGATTAACAAATTAACAGAGTTGGAAGGAACCTTGTAGGTCATCTAGTCCAACTACCCACCCAAGCAGGGGACCCTACATAATTTCTGACAAAATGGCAGTCCAGGGAAGAGGAGGACGAGAAGGACGAGGACGACAACTGTGAGGTTCTTGGTGCTCAATGAGTTTGGTGGGGGTTTTTTGGGAGACGTTTCATGACCCAACTACGGAATATTATCAGTGCTAGAAGGGGGAGGGGAGGGGGAGAAGGACTGTGGGGTCCTTGATGCTCAGTGAGCTTAGTGGTTTTCTTGCAGATGATTCGTTACCTAGTTTGACGTTAGCTAGTTTGGTCATGAAACGTCTGCAAGAAAACCACCAAGCTCAGAGAGCACCAAGGACCCCACAGTCGTCTTCCTCCTCCTCCTCTCCTTTCTAGAACTGATAATGTTCCTTAGCTGGGTAATGAAACTGTTATGCCTGGATTCCCCAACGGGTGTTAAGGAAAACAAACTAAACAGAATGTACAGCGAAGTCAGATAGGAAGACAGGTAAATGTGTGAGATAAGTTTTCTAGTTAACACGCAGTAAAAATACAGATACGCTTGTGCTATCAAAAATATTGTTTATTCCATTTAAGAATTATAGCATAGTCAAAATAAACGGTCCATTAGTCATATATCAATTTCAGTCAAGTCTTGTTGGGGATACTCTATTTGCAAAGTCCGTGTTGAATAGCCAATGTCAGTTCACTTACAATAAATCAGTCCAATCTTTATCTTCTCTCCGTTGAGAAAAATCAACACTCCTTTTTCTCTCCCCGTTCCAGCAAGAACGCAGTCATCAATCCATCCAGTAATTAGGGATCAGTAAGCCAGAGAGAGCGAGCTGCAATTGCCTCGCTTCTTATATAGTGCTTTTACAACCACACCCTTAATTACATTCTTGCAGTTAAAGTTACACACACTTTAACTAACAAACCATGATACCTTATTTATTATTTTTACCCAAACCAGTTAGGGTAAACAATGTTATCCCTAACAGAAACGTCTGCAAGAAAACCACCAAGGGCTCCCGTAGACAAGGATTCTCCAACTTGGAGCAGCTAAGAACGTCAACCATGGCTTGTGTGACCCCTAAAAACAATGGTTTATGGGGGAGGGGCATAAGCAAGAACTGAATGCCCTGCTTAATAACTGGATTTTCATTGGGTTTTTTTTTAACCACCCAGTATAAAACTTTCTGCCCTGGGGCTGCAAAGGGAGAACTAGAATCCAGTCCAAATTTAGGGAAGGCTTTCATTTTGGCCTTGATCTGGGTTGGGGGGGGGAAAGGTGGGGGAGGGATAATCTTTCCTGCCCC